TCAGGCCTAACCCTTCACAAGTGTTTCATTAATAGTATAATTACATCAAGTGAATTCCTTTTCCCATAACTTCTTGTCAGGAACCAAAGTGATAATTAGAATTATTATGATCGGAAGATTTTTAGTGGAAGAATTCAGATCAAATGTATGCGTATTCGTAGAAGAGATAATGAACTATGATGATTAAATGTGTTCTTCTCTAACATTTTCTTTTTCATATTTTAATGCACTAAGAATGCTCTCTACCATCTATGTATGTGATGAAAACAATTGAGAAAGCAGAGTTTTAAATGTTTTACTTTGAACTACCCTTCAATTTATAGGTGTATATTCAGATACTTGGTGGCCAGACTTGGAAGATGTAGAAATCTATAGAGATTGGTAGAGAAGCAACCACTAAAATTCTTTGAAATGGTCCAGATGCATGACTAACAAATGTATCATCGACAGGCTCTCTTTATAATTGTCCTTTAGGTTTCTTGTAGATGTCAATATCTCTAAGGATTTTGTTTTCAAGCCGCAAATTGTGATTGAAGTTGCTTTTGCTTTTGCTTTTGCATATTTCTTTACTAAAATGTTTGATCTTGACCATTCAATCTACCCCAATGGTTTTTCCCCTTTATGCAGAATCCACAGAATTGTGGTTGAAAATTGAAAAAGTCTGGTATTCTCTACAATGGTGCTGAGTCTCTGGGGCAGCTCATAGATTGAAATGTCAGCATCGAAAGACATTTTCATAGGTTCTTTCTTCATCCCTCAAAGCTTATGTTGCTATTTTCTGGTGTTTTTTTCAGTTTTGAAAGTGGGGCTAATCAAATTCTCCCATGACTTACAATTAGGAAAATAACTTTCATTCAGTCATGATTTGATTATGTTTTGGCCTCACAATGCTGACCTTATCTAATTATCTATCAAGATCTCATTTATGGCTCCACTCTATCCGAAAATCTTCATCAAATCTTGTTTAGCAATATGTATGGCTTATCTTAAATCACAATTAAATATGGTTTATGGCACTTTAAGTCCCTTCTTCATTGGATGCAATTTGTAAGGTCTCTTATTAATAAATCAAATCTCGAGTGAAAAGCATATGTAATGTCGGTGTCTATAGTAAGTGCTCTGCTCTTTGGATGCCATTCAACCAAAATTTCAACTCTTTAACATGTTTTTTCTGCAACAGTCCCTTGTTTCAGAAAATGGGAATAATTACCTTACAGCCCCAGTAACGTTACTGGGATGAGGATCGATACATCAATCATAGCTCTTTATCCAAAAGATATCAAAACAGGATAAAAGTAGTAGTACCTGATACTGTGCTTCAATCATAACTCTTTCAACCAAGATTTAAAAGTTATCAAAAATAATCTTACTGTAGTATTACTACGATAATGTTATCAAGAGAAAACAAGTAAATAATTAAGGGTGAGCAGTTTTGGGTATCCTGTATTTTATAGGAGAATCAAAACTGAAACCACATAGTGCAGGTTCCCAAAAAAAGGAACCAGAATCAGAACCTGTCGGTTCCAGTTCTTAAATTCAAGAAACTGGAACCTAAAATGTAGGTTCTAATAAAATAAAATCGAAACCTACCTGTACAGTATCGATTTTAGATAGGTTTAGGTTTCGATTCCAATTCCAGTTTTATCCATAGGTTTCGATTCTACTTATTATCCGTGCTCACCCCTATAAATGATAATATAAAAATCTGGAAGTTCCTATGAGGGAGGTAAAAAGGCAGAAGTTGAAATAATTGGAGTTTTCTAGAACAAAGGCAGGAATATCCGGTTAGGATCAAGTTAGACTGGAGGGAAAAGCCAGAAAAAGTACAACAACGTGGTCCCTTTCGCATGCTTATCTATGGACTATGGACCTGCAAATTAATTGTTTACTTTGTAGTCTTCTCAAAGCTTACATTGCCCATACTCTTTCACTCTTTTCATCACTTTCTCCCTCTTCTTCTGCTACTTCTTTCTTTTTTATTTGATATTTTGATTCTCCATTTTTCTCAACCTCATAAATGTAGTAAAACATTTTGTCACTGATTCAGGTACGAATTTTGTCACATTTGAGTTTAACAAAGCAGATATTGTTGTTTTTGGAATAATATCTATTTGATTTTCGCAACTCAATCGTAAGATGTGAAGATCTTAAGATGGATCCTACAGTTTGACGACTTTGTGATGGTGACCTAAAATTTTATGATTTGATTTTTTTTTTTTTTAATTCTTTTGAAGTATTGTGGTGATTTAACCATTAAAAAAAAAAAAAAAGTACCCACCAAAATAAAATAAAAGATGAAAAAGTCCAAATTTCTCTCACTTGTTAATTTGAGGAAATTTCAAAGCTGAAAAACCAAAAGCAAAAGACATAATTATTAGATGGACCAAAACCACCTAATATCCAGAGAGAAAAACCAATTACATGCAGATGAAGAAGAAGCATCAACCAACAGTAGCTTTAACAATGACAATTCAATTACCCTCTCTTACAAATTTTTTCTGACAACCTTGACGTGACAATTCATAATTAATCAGTTCATAACGGTCTCGTATGAGTCATACTAATTGATTACGATCTGATCAATTACGAGCTGTCACGTCAGAGTTATAAGAGAGAGTTGTTGGTGTAGTATTACTCATATGAACATAAAAATGAAATGGACCACCCAGCTAAACTTGTGGTTTTCCAATCCATTTAACAGACGGCCTCGATTGCATTTCTCTCCATGACTTGGCTCTGTCTCAACTCTCCATTGCCCCTTTGTCTTTGACAGCAGCTTCTGCTTGTGGTGGGTTGAATATAACACTCACTTGCCTTTGATGTTTTACTCTGAAAAAGCAAACACAGTCTGATAAAGATTGAAGATAGAGAGACCGAGAGTCTGTTTAAGAGTTTGGGGACCCAGATTTTAGTATTATATTTTGATCCATTTTTGGGTATAAGACTGATGTAGTACCTTAGTTTCGATTCCATTAACAACGATTATTCAAACTATGCCGTATTGATTAACCAAAAGAGAGATTTGACAACTGAAAGAAACATCGAACAGACAAAGATTAAATGACGCCAATTCATTAAATGTCTTTCTAAATGGTCCTCAATGTCCCAACTATTCACACAATATGATGAATAGGTGTTTGTTTCTAGAATTTCTTAGGAATCTTATAAGATTTATTGGTTTTTTTTTTTTTTTTAACAGATGGTTAGAATTTTATCTAGGTTCGAAACTTACTGAGAGATCTACTAAAGATAATTAGTCGAACTTACTGAGAGATCTACCAAAGATAATTACTATCTACAAAATGTATTTGGTACAATTTGTTAAAACATTTTTTTTAGATTATTTTTTAACTCTTTACATTTATTAATTTAGCTGAACACCCTCCCATAATAAAAGTTTATAAATTAACAAAAACACCCATATCCACCCAACTGATTGCAAGCAGTTGACCACCATTGTCGGACGGTGGTCGTAAGTTGCCGGAATAGCGTATGATTGACTAGATCTGACTGTTTTCGACTAAATCTACGACAAAAGATGTGGTCGTTGACGACGTCCAGATTTAAGGCTAAAGATCTGGCCGTTGACGACGTCTAGATCTACGCCAAAAGTCTAGTCGTTGATGACATCCAAATCTTGGCCATCGTTGACGGTCAAATTATAGCAAGAAATCTAGCCGTCAACGATAGTTAAGATATGATTGTCATCAATAGCCAGATCGACACACGACTGGCTAGATCTAATTGGTCGTGTACCATTCTGATGATTTTTTATTATCGTCTGACAACGACAGCTGACTGTTGGCAATCAAATGTGTGAGTATGAGTGTTTTTGTTAATTTATAAACTTTTATTAAAAAGGGTAATTGTTAAATATTTTGAATTGAATAAAATATAATTAGATTTTGAATTTAATAGTCAATATTCACTTTTTTTTATTTTTTTTAAATAAGATAACACAATAGAGTAGGTATCGAAAAATTAAACAAACAGCAAGTTAGATTTTCTTTGGTGACAAGAAAATGGAATTGGTTATTTATAAAACAAAATTTAAGATGTGGTTCAAAGATGGGTTCTTACTTCTTCCACGTATTCAACTCCATTAACTATTGTTATCCTTATCCGATAAAAAAGGATTATCCGTTGAACTGACAAGGATTGATAAACATTAATGGGATTGAAATGATAGACCTTTGGATCAAGTTTAGATGTTATAGTATTCGGATTAAGACTTATACCAAATTTAAGACTTTTTTTTTTTTTTTTTTAATTGTACGTTCTTTTAATTAAAATTTAAAAAACAAAAGAAAAAATTGACTTTTTGATCCACATATGTGGAAACCTGAGCTGAAACGTGTATTAATTAATGGTTTTAGACGAGTTTGCATAAAAGAAGTTGACCAACTCATCTCTAATAAAATATAGTAATTGACAATATTAACCATATTATCAGGGGAGATTTCATCATAATTTTTCACAATTTTATGATAACATGTTTAGGGTTGTGTCGAAATATTAGATATATCAAATATAGTAACTATTTTTAGGTGATCGAATGATTCGATAGAGACTCTTAAATGTATTACTTAAGAGGTTCTGAGTTTAAATTCTTCTTTGTATATTAATAAGAGTAGTTACTGGAATCCTTATTGGACCGATAATTTTAAGGTTACGAGAGATTAGTTGAGATACGCGTGACTTATTTAATACTGTTTAACATATTAAATGTGGTAATTGATAATAGTATCATGGTTTTTTTTTTTAATGTTTCAGAAGTTTAAAGATAAATATAAAATGGATTATTAAATTGAGTTTAGAGGAATAGTGTTGAAGTAGCAGTTAAAAGTGTGGCACAAAATCAGTTGAAGCAGGGGGGGCAAGTAACGATAGAACAGTGGGGCAATCTGCGCCCATTTAGTTTCTATCTGTAAACTATGGGCGACAAGCAGGTTGAAAATGAAGCTTCACCTTAAATTGAACGTAAAAGCAAAATGGTAAAATATCTCTTTCATTATAACTTCATCTCTTTTTTTTATCGTCAATGCTAAACTTGTAACTCTTCTCTCTCTTTCTCTTTCTCTCACTTTCATCCCTTTTTCTCCCACTTCATCTTGCAACTTGCAAAGGTATGTGCTTGCCCCACTTCACAATGCTCAACTCAGTTTCATTGCTTCTTTTTTCGTTGTTTTTTTTCTCAACTGGGTATTGTTGCTTTTTCAATTTTGATTTACTTTTTTTAGTCAATGGTGCATGTTGAAAGTGTTTGGTCTTTTTGCTGTTCTTTGATTTTGTGTACAGGGATAGTAAATATGGGAGAGAGAATTGGTTTTTTGTGTTTTTGAGGAAGTAAAGCTTGTAGGAGGTTGGAAGAGAAAGAGAAGAGCTCTGTGAGTTATTGCAATGCCAGTTCCTCTTGCTCCTTATCCAACTCCTCCAGTTCCGTATATACCTCCTCCTCCTCCTCCTGCCAATGGTATCTTAATCAATTACTCACCTTCCAACTATTTAGCCTCATGCAATGTGAATCTTGTACCTGTTTGATTCTTTGTGAAAATTAAAGCATGTTCAAGGATTCTGGGGAAAAAATTAAGAAATATTGAGATCTTTTTAGTACTTAGTGATAAAACAGTAAGAATTGATTGTGCACATAGCAATTAGGATACTGAAAGGCCAAACACTTCAGTAAAAGAACTGAGGGTGGTTTAAATTCTGCAACTGTAACAAAATGATTCCCGAATGAGTTCCCTGACTTGATATTCTGAAGATCTTTATTGTTGCATCAATAACAAATGGTTAAGATTTTTACATATGTTTCTATGTGATTACATATAGTGGTTGATCTAGTAGTAATCTATGTAAAATATCTGTTGATGATCAGGTGCACAGAGCCAGCTTGTATGTTCTGGATGTCGAAACCTTCTGCTCTATCCGGTTGGAGCGACCTCAGTGTGTTGCGCCGTTTGCAATGCAGTCACTGCTGTGCCACCACCAGGTAGATTTCTTCCTTTCTTTTAATTCCCTTCTGGCTTGTATACTCTACAATATCTCAAACAATTGATCACTAGCAGGCACTGAAATGGCCCAGTTGGTCTGCGGGGGTTGCCACACCTTACTGATGTACATTCGTGGGGCAACAAGCGTTCAATGTTCTTGTTGTCACACTGTCAATCTAGCCTTGGAAGGTACATGATTTACCATTTAATTACCTTGAAATGAAAACTCAAAATTATAACTCAAGTATCATTAAGATTGGATACCTCATCAATTGCGTTCATGATAGTTGAAAATAAGCATCAAATCTTCATTGTGTCAGCGAATCAAGTCGCACACGTCAATTGCGGGAACTGCAGGATGCTGTTGATGTACCAATATGGAGCACGATCTGTGAAATGTGCTGTTTGCAATTTTGTGACATCAGTGGGGGTGAGTACATAATCTTTTCTTAGTCTGGAAATAATTTGAGTTCTTGTCATGTTAGACGAAAAAACCATAGAACTAGAAGCATAGTTTCTAAAGGGAAACAACACCACCAAATAATGAGATTGAAACTTAACAGACCAAGTTTTCTTGCTGCAATTAAAGTGGTTGATTTCCAGGGTATGTCATTTTACTGCTTAGAACAACTCCTTGAAGCTGTGTAATTAACTTGACAAGCAGATGAGCTAGATTATTTTTGGCTGGAGAAAATGAAAATAATGTGTTTATGTCATGACCAAGTTCATGTTTTGTTAAATACGGAACTAAATGCATTTTTCTTAAAATTTCTTGTGTCCTGTTTCGAAAACGAATATCAACCATGCCTTTTAAAATCAATCTGAGAACTTACATTATCGGAACACTTATATATATACATATTCCTAATGATCAATCAACTCAAAGAAACAACAATCTGTCTCATGTAACACATTCTGAACATATAAACCTTTTCATTCTTATTCTAACCTTCCAAATTTGTCTGCTTAACCTTATATGGATGATGCAGGCATCGACGAGCACCCCTGAGCAGAAGTTCAACAATAATTGAGACTACTTCACAACCAACTTGGTTATTACAGATTGTAAAACTTCAGTTTTGCATATTACAATATCCAGCAAAAGCAGACGAGAAGATGTTCTGTGTAGTCACATGTATAGAGTTAATTTTTCCCTTGCGTGACAATTCAATGAATAAGAAGCATTGGATGGATATGATGGATGAATGTATGAGAAAGACTTTTAGGTGGTGAATGTATTTGGAAATTTTCAGAGGATAAGATGAACTTCATTTCCTTTTTTATTTTACTTTTGACTTGGCTATGATATGACATCAAGTACACGGAATAGATTGATAAAGGAAAATTACACGGGGGACCAACAGATATTTTATGAAGATCGAATGCGATTGCAACTGAAGAATCGGTCGTTTACTTTTACTACCGATCACAAGTTTCGTGTTGTATGCAGTGCTCCTACTGAAAATTATGATCAATGCAGTGCTCCTACTGAAAATTATGATCAAGAATTACTTTATCAACCACCATCTACGCCAGAAAGAAGATATTGAGGTGAGGATTTGAAATTACCCAACAAATTAATCCAAGAACGTAATAAGGTTTATGCTGCTTTAGCCTCATATTTTTTCAAAATGGCCAACTAATTCAAGAAAATGATAGTGTGTTTGACCCATTAATTACTCTTTCCCAAATGAATTGGGATAGACGTCACTTCTGCCATAAAACACAATTTCCTTTGTTATGATTCCAAGTCATTTTCAAGGGGTATGTATAAAATAAAATGAAAAATGAAAACTGAAAAAAAAAAACATAAAATAAAGAGGCATATTCTGTTAATCTTAGTCGGATGGTTAAGTAAGTGGTTTGCTTATATATAGTCTATGGTTTGCTTATACATAGTCTACTGTTTGAGCCCCTCTAGGGGTTTATATATATTTTTTTAATAATTGGGAGTGTTTGAGTTTATTTACGCGTACCTCAACTAATCTTTCGAGGTTTTAAAACTGTTCGTTACGTAAGAGTTCTAATGACTAATTCTATTAGTGCCTAAAGGGACTCAAACTGAAAAACTCATGAAACATTTTTTTGTTTTTTTACTATCAACAATTTGTTCATGGGCATCTATCTGTGCGTTTGGTTTATTATTCCTATCCCTATTCTCAACCCTATTCCCAAAATATTTGTTTGTTTAATTATTTGAGAAATATTATTATATTTTTTTAATTACTTTTAGACCCTTTAAGTTTATTAATTTCATTAAATACCCTCAGAAAAAAGTTTAAAAATTAACAAAAACACCCCCACTCACTGATAGTTGCCAGATTTCGGCAACCACCGTTGGTGGTAGTCGGAATCTGTCACAACAGCCTATAAACCATCAAGACTGCCTGGAAAGTCGTCGATCTGGCCTTTTTCGGCCAGATCCACAATGGATTTGGCCAGAAAATGCCAGATCTGGCCGTCAACATCTTTGGCCATCGATATAGCTTTTTCCGGCCAAATCCGTGGTGAATCTGGCTAGAAAATGGCAGATCGACGCACGTGCAGCCAGATCCGACCGATCTGAGTCGCAATGCCAGATTCTAACCAAATTCCGACGATGGTGACCGAAATTTAGCACTGTGGGTGGGTGGAAATGTTTTTGTTATTTTATAAAAATGTTATATATTAGGATATTTAGTTAAATTAGTAAACTTGTGAGGTTTTTTTTTTTTGTAAATTTTTAAATTTTATCTCGTAATAATAACCCTATCCAACTATCTAATACTATCCCCAAAATCCTATCCATAATAATAAACCAAACACACCCTATATTGCTGCAGGACATTTTTCACACTTCCCAAAGATTATAGGGTTGAGACTTGAGAGGGACTCAAGTTTCGAGCTTTAGCTAGCAATTACCAATTAGCGAAAAGAAAATACAGAAAAAAGAAAAGAGCATATTCTCCTGTGCTGAAAAGGTTGATACCAATTGCCAAACCATCTGTGGGTTACAATTTACGTTATCTGCTGGAGAAAGTACCTCAATTTGACTGCTCATGGACCCCCATTTTGCACCAGCAAAAGAAGGATTATGGTATCAAAAGTTGTTGCATTGCATGGCATTATCAGCTGTGAGGTCCGTCTATACAATCAATCTTCTTCTTCAATGCAACTTTAGTAGGGCCCTTAAACATGCATAATAAATTAATAATAAAAGGGCCTAAACTGAGTGGTAGACAGCCTGTTGTGTCTGTGGCACTGTGCCTGTGAAGCCCACTCACAAGTCACAGCGGTAAATCTTCAACCATGAGCCTAAACTTTTCAAAAGGGTCTATGGGTGAACCTTTTTACCTCTTTCAATACGTAACAAACATGTCTGCCACCATAAGAGAAAGCAGGAGCCCATTCATTAATTTAGCGGATACGCTGCCAGATCCACATGACAAGAAGTCCAGACATAATGATAATTATACGGGTGTTCTACGAATATTTTACGTCAATCCTTTAGTATCCCCATTCCTGACAAATTCCATTCCCTTGTTTAAGAGGCCAAGTAAATACACACTAAGAGAAGTAGCCAGAGACTGAAACTTAAGATTTGACACTGAGTGTACACAACTCAGTTTCACTATCTACCTGCATTAGGTCACACTTGAGTCTCAGTTCAAAGATTCCTTTCAAATAATGGTATGGTAAATTGTGAACATTTCAGAGCTGAACAGTCAACAGTCACAGTCACCAGTGATCTTCTCCACAAAATGGTCCTCCACAGATCTTATCTTTTAAGATACTTGGATATAATAATTCACAAAGTACAGCCAGCCAGCAATGAAGGCAAGCAAGCAAATTTCTGGCTATCAAATGTGCTTGGAAATTCAAGAATCAAGATACTATACATGCTCACAAGAGTTCCAATTGAGGACTAGAAAAATATCAAGAATAGATCAAATATATTCACTTGAAAGCTTTATAAAAATGAAGGCCCCATTAGATTCTTCAATAATACTAACATTTGACAGGGATAGCAAGCTAACCTTATTTTCCTGTACATTTGCTCCTCCACATGGCTACAGAAGATATTTTGAGTTATGTCGAAGTGAACTGAATAAGACGCATACTTACCATTTTGGAAGTTAACAATCAAAGTAACATCAAAAGGCAATCTAGTCTGTATCAAAGATAAATATAGCACCATACATGAAGATGAAAACTCATTCCAGTTCGAAATAGTAATTATATGACCATTACAAAGATCCCACACGAACAAAATATTTCATTCAAATCTCCATTACGACTATATGAAGGGTATCAGGTGCTCATATTTCTCATTTGTTTATTTTCATTAGTAATAAGAGAATAAGGAGTGTTTGATTGCTAGACATGAATTGGATGGGATTTAACATGAACCTCAAACAAGTCCATATCAAACAGACATATCCTTGCTAAATTTAAATGGGTAAAAGAATCATTGCTTAGATTGGCATTGTACCAAGCTTAATCTGTGCAAAACATCCAAAACTGCCTTTCGTTTCTCAAAAAACATGCTATAAGAGCCCAAATCCAGATAATTAACATCCTTATTTCACTAATCGAACATGTGAGATCAAACGATTAACCAAACTAGATGGATTGCCAAGTAACATTCTGCATAGACAATAACATACAGAGAGAAGTATTGTCCCAAAATACCAGTGCACAATACACAAGGCTGAGAAGGCCATGCCTTTCTTATCTTCATCTAATTTAACAACTGACCTGCAACTCACCTTGTTCCTTGCTGTGGATGTCTGGATATGTTTCTGACTTCATCAAACAAACACCTGGGTTTGTTATGTAAGTGAATCCGTGATGTTAGAGCTAATTTTGTATATCCCGATTCCTGAATTTGAGATCTCCACAGATACATTGTGGCTGAAGTGGGCTCGTCAATCAGGTCCTTTTTACAGGAGTAAGAGAAAAAATTACACGTTCAAAATTCCTGATCATAACAATATCATTGATAAGCTGGATGGCAAATAAACATTATCAGTCACTTATAGGTCTTCCCCAGCAATAAGCAGACAATTAACCAACCATACACAACTAGGAATGTTTACCATGTAATACATTATACATAAGAAGGCTAAAACAAAGAGTAAGAAGTCTAAGCTCAAATATAAAAAAAGAAATAGACGGCAGAAAAGTGAATCCGCAAGCCTTTCTCAGTAAATTCTCAACATCTACTTGGCATTTTATATGGCTCATTCATCACCGAGAGCTAGCTCCAATGCATAGTCATCCCTTTCCTGTGCATTGAACAGATAAAGAAGTTGGTCAATTCTTCTTTCTTCTGATACTTTTATTAAAAGGCAATGTAAAATTCAAAAACTTCTGAGAATCATAAACTTACAATTGGTCCCCGGGCAAAATATCTTCCAAATTGAAGCCAATATACCTGCACAGGCCAGTAATTTTACATTCCATTCCAAGCAAAAAGTCTTTAAATAATTTCATATCATATAGACACTACATTACTATTTTAAGGAAGAAGCACAAAAGATGCAATTAAGGCAGTAGACATGAATCTTTGAATGCTAATAAATCACAATGTAACGAAAGAATTTCAATTGAAAATTCAAACAATCAATTGGCCTCTTTTCTAGTGAAGGGCCAGAGTTTTGTACATTACCTCATCCTCATCCTGTGTTTCTACTTCGACATCAGAGGAGGGGAAACCCACACAAAGAAGTGCATACCCCTGCATCACAATAAATATCATATCCTGAATTTCCTCAAAACCATATCAAAGTATGACATCAAATTGAAAAGTTAATCATAAGTCAACATTTCATGCATAAGTGGATAACTGCACTTCCTTTGTTAACACATAAAAAATGCCAAAACAAAAAATGGAATATCCCTGAAATCAAAAGAAGTATACCAAAGAACCACCAGAACAAACATGAATGCTTTAGAAGTTATTATTTTTTATCGGAAAACATAATTTTGAAAAATGAACACGCCAAGATTCAAAATTGTTGCTTGTTCAACTGGTTGGACAAATGATTGTTCTTCAATTCTATATAGATAACTGCTGGTTTGATCCATTCCCCATGAATCTTTGCATATCTGGTCCAAACATAATATTGAACCAGAAAAAAAGCTCTGTTCATGATTTTTTCTGGTCTCAGTTACCAAGCATTGTCTCAGGGTGAAGTAATGAAGTTGCCTTCTAAATTGAATAAAGCATCCACTTTCAGCCGTATTTTGTAACACATTAATTGATAAAGTGACTATAGTAAATGCAACACCAGTGTCAATGCAACACAGCATTTTGTTTGTAGTTCCCAGAAAAAAATAGATTTATGAGAAATTTTATTCCACAAATCTAAATATAAAATACAGATACCAAAACATGCCTTTGATTTCAATTCAGCAGATATCCCCAATGCTTCAGGCTGACTAATTTGTCCAGATTTTATACGTACAGCGCAACTAGTGCAACAACCTGCCATGTAGAAGAAAGCTTTCATCAATAACAATTTAACTGATAAAAAAGCAAAGCCTGCACTAATATCCGTTTGAAGTGCACTTAATAGTAACTATTATCAGGATAAATTAACAAGGAAATTCAGTGAAAGATGGCATTCTGAAAACAATAGAAATCAATCTTTTACAATTGTTCAACTATACAAGCTTCAAACTAAGAGACTGAATGAATTATCTGACTTGTCTACTTTATCATAGGTTAACTATACTTATCAGTAAACTGCATAATACTTTTGAAATTTGTAGATATATGTTACAAATAGAAACACTACTTAGGGGGCAGAGTACAAATGAAAGAAAATGATGAATCAAAGCAAAAGGCCAAATAGTTGACTCGTAATATACTGGTAGTATCTGGATGTACATCTGCACCATAGTTCTATGGCATATCATGGAGGTGAAAAATTTATGTTAACCACAACTCTGTGTGTAGCTGATATTTATTGAATCTATCATTGAAATTGCACTTGATGTTTATCTTTAGTAGGCTATTTTTCACCCACACCAAAGCATACAAACTTAAAACAACAATACTTGATTGCAGCTCGTAGCTATATAGGCCAAGTTGTAATTGAATACATTAAATTTCTTTCCAATCAATATGATTAGTTATTTAACTTGTAAACTTATTATCAGCATCAACCTAAAAGACATCATCAGCTGTGAGGTCCGTCTATACAATCAATCTTCTTCTTCAATGCAACTTTAGTAGGGCCCTTAAACATGCATAATAAATTAATAATAAAAGGGCCTAAACTGAGTGGTAGACAGCCTGTTGTGTCTGTGGCACTGTGCCTGTGAAGCCCACTCACAAGTCACAGCGGTAAATCTTCAACCATGAGCCTAAACTTTTCAAAAGGGTCTATGGGTGAACCTTTTTACCTCTTTCAATACGTAACAAACATGTCTGCCACCATAAGAGAAAGCAGGAGCCCATTCATTAATTTAGCGGATACGCTGCCAGATCCACATGACAAGAAGTCCAGACATAATGATAATTATACGGGTGTTCTACGAATATTTTAGGTCAATCCTTTAGTATCCCCATTCCTGACAAATTCCATTCCCTTGTTTAAGAGGCCAAGTAAATACTGTCTAACAGAAGTAGCCAGAGACTGAAACTTAAGATTTGACACTGAGTTTACACAACTCAGTTTCACTATCTATCCGCATTAGGCCACGCTTGAGTCTCAGTTCAAAGATTCCTTTCAAATAATGGTACGATAAATTGTGAACATTTCAGAGCTGAACAGTCAAGAGTCAGTGTCACCAGTGATCTTCTCCACAAAATGGTCCTCCACAGATCTTATCTTTTAAGATACTTGGATATAATAATTCACAAAGTACAGCCAGGCAGCAATGAAGGCAAGCAAGCAAATTTCTGGCTATCAAATGTGCTTGGAAAGTCAAGAATCAAGATACTATACATGCTCACAAGAGTTCCAATTGGGGACTAGAAAAATATCAAGAATAGATCAAATATATTCACTTGAAAGCTTTATAAAAATGAAGGCCCCATTAGATTCTTCAATAATACTAACATTTGACAGGGATAGCAAGCTAACCTTATTTTCCTGTACATTTGCTCCTCCACATGGCTACAGAAGATATTTTGAGTTATGTCGAAGTGAACTGAATAAGACGCATACTTACCATTTTGGAAGTTAACAATCAAAGTAACATCAAAAGGCAATCTAGTCTGTATCAAAGATAAATATAGCACCATACATGAAGATGAAAACTCATTCCAGTTCGAAATAGTAATTATATGACCATTACAAAGATCCCACACGAACAAAATATTTCATTCAAATCTCCATTACGACTATATGAAGGGTATCAGGTGCTCATATTTCTCATTTGTTTATTTTCATTAGTAATAAGAGAATAAGGAGTGTTTGATTGCTAGACATGAATTGGATGGGATTTAACATGAACCTCAAACAAGTCCATATCAAACAGACATATCCTTGCTAAATTTAAATGGGTAAAAGAATCATTGCTTAGATTGGCATTGTACCAAGCTTAATCTGTGCAAAACATCCAAAACTGCCTTTCGTTTCTCAAAAAACATGCTATAAGAGCCCAAATCCAGATAATTAACATCCTTATTTCACTAATCGAACATGTGAGATCAAACGATTAACCAAACTAGATGGATTGCCAAGTAACATTCTGCATAGACAATAACATACAGAGAGAAGTATTGTCCCAAAATACCAGTGCACAATACACAAGGCTGAGAAGGCCATGCCTTTCTTATCTTCATCTAATTTAACAACTGACCTGCAACTCACCTTGTTCCTTGCTGTGGATGTCTGGATATGTTTCTGACTTCATCAAACAAACACCTGGGTTTGTTATGTAAGTGAATCCGTGATGTTAGAGCTAATTTTGTATATCCCGATTCCTGAATTTGAGATCTCCACAGATACATTGTGGCTGAAGTGGGCTCGTCAATCAGGTCCTTTTTACAGGAGTAAGAGAAAAAATTACACGTTCAAAATTCCTGATCATAACAATATCATTGATAAGCTGGATGGCAAATAAACATTATCAGTCACTTATAGGTCTTCCCCAGCAATAAGCAGACAATTAACCAACCATACACAACTAGGAATGTTTACCATGTAATACATTATACATAAGAAGGCTAAAACAAAGAGTAAGAAGTCTAAGCTCAAATATAAAAAAAGAAATAGACGGCAGAAAAGTGAATCCGCAAGCCTTTCTCAGTAAATTCTCAACATCTACTTGGCATTTTATATGGCTCATTCATCACCGAGAGCTAGCTCCAATGCATAGTCATCCCTTTCCTGTGCATTGAACAGATAAAGAAGTTGGTCAATTCTTCTTTCTTCTGATACTTTTATTAAAAGGCAATGTAAAATTCAAAAACTTCTGAGAATCATAAACTTACAATTGGTCCCCGGGCAAAATATCTTCCAAATTGAAGCCAATATACCTGCACAGGCCAGTAATTTTACATTCCATTCCAAGCAAAAAGTCTTTAAATAATTTCATATCATATAGACACTACATTACTATTTTAAGGAAGAAGCACAAAAGATGCAATTAAGGCAGTAGACATGAATCTTTGAATGCTAATAAATCACAATGTAACGAAAGAATTTCAATTGAAAATTCAAACAATCAATTGGCCTCTTTTCTAGTGAAGGGCCAGAGTTTTGTACATTACCTCATCCTCATCCTGTGTTTCTACTTCGACATCAGAGGAGGGGAAACCCACACAAAGAAGTGCATACCCCTGCATCACAATAAATATCATATCCTGAATTTCCTCAAAACCATATCAAAGTATGACATCAAATTGAAAAGTTAATCATAAGTCAACATTTCATGCATAAGTGGATAACTGCACTTCCTTTGTTAACACATAAAAAATGCCAAAACAAAAAATGGAATATCCCTGAAATCAAAAGAAGTATACCAAAGAACCACCAGAACAAACATGAATGCTTTAGAAGTTATTATTTTTTATCGGAAAACATAATTTTGAAAAATGAACACGCCAAGATTCAAAATTGTTGCTTGTTCAACTGGTTGGACAAATGATTGTTCTTCAATTCTATATAGATAACTGCTGGTTTGATCCATTCCCCATGAATCTTTGCATATCTGGTCCAAACATAATATTGAACCAGAAAAAAAGCTCTGTTCATGATTTTTTCTGGTCTCAGTTACCAAGCATTGTCTCAGGGTGAAGTAATGAAGTTGCCTTCTAAATTGAATAAAGCATCCACTTTCAGCCGTATTTTGTAACACATTAATTGATAAAGTGACTATAGTAAATGCAACACCAGTGTCAATGCAACACAGCATTTTGTTTGTAGTTCCCAGAAAAAAATAGATTTATGAGAAATTTTATTCCACAAATCTAAATATAAAATACAGATACCAAAACATGCCTTTGATTTCAATTCAGCAGATATCCCCAATGCTTCAGGCTGACTAATTTGTCCAGATTTTATACGTACAGCGCAACTAGTGCAACAACCTGCCATGTAGAAGAAAGCTTTCATCAATAACAATTTAACTGATAAAAAAGCAAAGCCTGCACTAATATCCGTTTGAAGTGCACTTAATAGTAACTATTATCAGGATAAATTAACAAGGAAATTCAGTGAAAGATGGCATTCTGAAAACGATAGAAATCAATCTTTTACAATTGTTCAACTATACAAGCTTCAAACTAAGAGACTGAATGAATTATCTGACTTGTCTACTTTATCATAGCTTAGCTATACTTATCAGTAAACTGCATAATACTTTTGAAATTTGTAGATATATGTCACAAATAGAAACACTACGTAGGGGGCAGAGTACAAATGAAAGAAAATGATGAATCAAAGCAAAAGGCCAAATAGTTGACTCGTAATATACTGGTAGTATCTGGATGTACATCTGCACCATAGTTCTATGGCATATCATGGAGGTGAAAAATTTATGTTAACCACAACTCTGTGTGTAGCTGATATTTATTGAATCTATCGTTGAAATTGCACTTGATGTTTATCTTTAGTAGGCTATTTTTCACCCACACAAAAGCATACAAACTTAAAACAACAATACTTGATTGCAGCTCATAGCTATATAGGCCAAGTTGTAATTGAATACATTAAATTTCTTTCCAATCAATATGATTAGTTATTTAACTTGTAAACTTATTATCAGCATCAACCTAAAACTAAAGAAGAAGTTTGGATTATGATTCATTCTTCACCCCACCAAAAAGAAAAAAAAATCAATTCTTGGAGCTCTAGTATCCAAAAACCATAAATAATTGAATTTAATACCGAACATTTTCACGATTCTCAAATTCAAAAAGGAAATTTTCAACTTAATAGTAAATGCATTTGACAATACTTTCTAATAAAAGATATTATTAACAATTAAAGAAGTCTTTAACTAAAACTAAACATGGCATTTACATAAGGTTGACCAAAAAATGTAATTCGATGTTATCATCCCTAATTATAATTACTAATCCAAATGATACAATGTGATACATATATATGTATTTTAGTGACAAAATTACAGTATCAAGCACTTTGTTTTGTTTTGTTTTGTTTCGGTGAATGAGAGAACAATACCGTGCCTGCAAGCGAAAGGAAGATAGATATTTTGAGCTTCCGCTGTGTGCAATATGTACTGGTCCTGCATTTCATTTTATTAATACAAGAAAATCGATCAAATTCAATAACACAACCAATTTAGTAAAATAAAATTTACTATAAATTTAAGGCTTAAGCTCCACAGCACTAAAAAAACGATTGCGTACCTCGGGGACAACGAATTCGTGAACGACACCGCGTTGTCTATCGTGAACGGTGACTTTGTGAGTCGGAATCGAGGAAGAGTAGTTACCAGAATTACTGGTCACGCCGACCGGAGTCTGGAGCTCCGAAGATGCTGTTATGCGACGGCATTTTAAGGAGTTTAAGCTACGAGTGCTGGTCTTTGGCGACGTAATTTGCCGGTGAAGCGACGGTTGCCGGTAGAGAGAAGTGCATGAACTGCAGGGAGCGAGCAGGTCCATGGATAGCTTTGGTCCGTAGTTGCTGCAACGTGGCAATTCAAAGATAAAAGGAAATGGGCTTTCCTATACTACAACACATTTGTATAATAACACTTGTGTGAGTCATCTATGCACCGTTGATTTTCTTTCAAATTTTTTTTAATTTTTTATTACCATTTAATTAATACAATTTTGCATAGGAAAATTATCCTGATTTAATTCTGTACAGGAGCTGGCTAAGCAGGACATATGGAGCTTAGCAGGAGCAAACACGTGTCATAAAATTCAAGAGACGAACTTGCATGAGAGACACGTGGCAGGAGGTGGTGATTCATCATGTATCGCTGGTCAGAAATTAATTTGTATAAGAAGATGAATTAAGTTGTCCTGTGTTACTACCACTACTGCATACAGTAAACTACTCAGGAATCATTTGCAAGTAATTTACAAGAAGTTTTAACAGAGAGATCAAATAATGCATACAGTAAAGGAAAAAGTGAGCAACGCAGCCAGCTCCGGCAAGGCTCACGTCGACATCTACAAAACCAAAGTAGAAGAGCAGGTGGAGCAAGCGGCAGCGAGGACAGAGGAAGAGAAGGAGATAGCGCATCAGCGTGGGAAGGCCAAAGAGGCTCAAGCGAAGATGGAGTTACACCAGGCCAAGGCTGAGCATACAGCTGAGAAGTTACGAGCCAAGCAGTCTCATGTGCTCGGCTACGCCCAGCATCATCATGACGACCCTTATCTTGCAGCTACTCATCATGGGCAGATGAATGAGCCAGTGGTTGGGACGACCCACGGACACCACCAGCACCATCCGGTTGGAATCGCTGCTCCTGTGCCCGCAACCACTGCGCCTACTTATCCTCTTGGTGGCAACCCTCCTCCTCCAGTGCATAAGAAACATTTCTAGTTAAACAAATTTCGTTGCAGACATGTTTGAGCCTAGCTACTTTGCTTTTGGATTGGAATTTTTGTTTGTAATCTTGTAAGCAAGAACGTTTCTAATTAAGAGTGTTTTAATTTCAAATAATGTTTGGAAACATAATATTTACAATATGATACAGTTTCTAAGGTATATTTTTAAGTATAGTTAATTTCATTCAAATATTATAGAATTTTTAAAATTATTTTCCAGGGATAACAGCTCAATATTATATTTTTAAGGTATAAGACAACTCCATTTTCCAGGGACGGGAGCAGAATCAAACCGGTCAGATTGCGGAAACAATTGCAAGAAACCATTGTGATATTACACTAAAAACCAAATAAGAAAACAATCAACTTAATCTTGTCACCAAAAACCAAATAAAAAAACCTATCAACTTAATGTTGTCGCCATTGATTATCATTTATCTCTATTTCCTAGTTTTTGCTATAACCCAGGCCGATTCAACACAAAAGCAATCAATATAAAGACCAAGGTAAAGCAAGGAGCTTTTGATTGATACTAATCAGTTTTGCTGTGTATACAGAACAACTCAACTCAGTTGATAGTTCATGGAACTCTTGCATTATGGAGAAAAGCTACAGTTTGCAAATATTATGAGTGATGATAGGTACAATCAAAATCCCCAATAAAGTAGTTGAGGAAACCCTTTTAAACAATTAACACAAACACGACAGGACGCTACAACAGTACAAAAGGGTTCCACAACCTTAGTAGAAAGATCATATACCCAAAAGAATTAAAGTTAACATACTTTTGGTATCGAATGTAAAACCTATACGCTCACAAAGGTCCTTCACACCCATTGCAATCTACCTTGGTATTCCACACATTGCTGAATTTTGCCATCAGGCGTCAAGACCTGGTTCTTCACTATAGCTGGTCTGGTACTGTACCTTACTTCGAATGTTGGCAATGGCCTATGTTGCTCTTCCATACTGGCTGATGTATGTGAGGAGACCTCATCAAGGAACTCATCTGCTACATCTCCATCTTCATCTATCCTGAGACGTTTTGCATACCATCCTAAACCCTGAATCCAGAAAAGAATAAAAAAACATATTCTACACTTGAAAAAGCAATAAAAAACAAATACGAAAATCAGGAGGAAAAAGAAGAATCAGAAGTAATCTCGGAAAAAAGAAAAAAATAACTATTAATAATGACCAAAGAGAGTCCAATGCTATATAACAACCATATGAAGCAACATTTAACATTTTTTCACTAACTACTGAATTTTTTAGTGAAAAACATAGAAGCATAAAATGCAATAACTAATAAACAAATGGTGTAAAAGAAAACAAAAAAAAAAAAAAAAAAAAACAGAGAGCTCGTTTCCCCCAGTCTTATTCAAATTGTTTATTTATTTAGTCTTATTCAAATTGTTTATTTATTTTTGAACAAGAGAGTGGGTGAACCAAAAATATATGACACAGGTAAAGTTGCTGTGTCGGTCAATACTCATCCCCCACCAACAATTCAACACCAGTCTCAAGAGTCTTCTTATTTTGTAACTGGGCATAGCTCTGGCAGAAGAAACAATACTGGCTATAACTATCCATTTTTGGTTAATTTTGACTAGCAAGCAGGATGGTCAATGCCAAATCCTTCTAATTCATATAAAAGTGCCACAAACACTAAATTCGATTTTCATACCACCCATGGCTAAGCAACACATGATACTTGAGATGCAAATTAAATAAAGCTAGGTGATTAGAAGTTTGCAGTTCACAAGTTTAGCCTATTAACTAAGCTCTAGAAAAATAAATACGAGAGTTCCTAATGAGACAATATGCAAAATATGAATCATCTTTGGCTTAGGAAAAAGGATACTGAAAGATCTTCAAACAGGTTTGAAGAAAGTAACAAAACATTTGCCAATGGAAGCATCTTTGGAAGCAAATGTAATGACTAAATTGCGTCCAGCATGCAAAATGAATTGATTAGTCTGAACAGAAGACATCATATTTTATGCTCATCACGGAGCAAGTTAACATTACCTGAAATGACTAAATATTAGACATGACTTACAAAAATATCTCTTTTTTTTTCTTTTTTGATAGGAAAAAGAAGATTTGTATTTGTAATAAAGAACCAATAAATTTAAGGCCTTTACAAGAATATTAAATATTTCAAGACTGACAGCATAGATATTAATCTATGAAAATTAAAATACAAAAGTCATATCATAACATAGTGTGGTAATCATACAAGCAAATAATGCTGATTTTCCCTCACATTAGACTTTAAAGCAAAGGACAGAAGAGGTTAGCAAAACTTCCCTAACTATAAGCATACTTCAAGGAGTCCTCTAATAAAAATCACAATAAAAGAAACATATAAATCACATTCACCATACCTGTTTCTTTCATCCTCTCATTTGAATATCAAAAGTCACATTCGCTGACTAAACCAAATCCAAACCCTTAATTATTCGGCAAACTTACACATTGGAAAACAATCTTCTTGTGTGTTTGGCATGATTTCATTTAACTAAAGAATCTTCAAGAAAAATATGAGCCCTACATTCATAGTCTAAGGGAATAAATTTGCACAGCTGTTAGATCTTTCAAACATATATGCACTCAAAAGGAGTTATTTATCCTACAATAACCAGTTATAATTATCACATTGGAATATTTTATGTTTCCAATGATTCAGCTCTGCCCTTGAAATTTAAATATGAAGTCAAAATGTGTTTCAATCCTGTCAATCCCACCAGCTTAATCTTGCATTCAGACTCTATCCCATAAGCATTAGTTGCCCTTAAAGCTTCCAATCAAACTACAAGAGTGCTTCCTAGGAACTGATCTTTGCTATAAAGAAGATACAACTTGGATTAAAGGAAAGTTTCTGTTAATTGGAGTCACCATTTCTCCATCACTCTTTCTTGTCTCCCCTTATTCTAGCACAATGATCTCTACTTCTTTTCTCTAACTTCCTCTCTCTACTCATGTTTCTGTTCAAGGTTCTCTCTTCTTTACTCCCTTGCTAAAGTTCCAAAGACTCTAATTATCTTCCTTAAAATAAAAAATTCAACAAAAATTATAGTTCTTCTACCTAGCCATGAAAAACTCATAATCTCTTCTTTGATCTGCTCCATTCAATTCCCAGCACTTTACTACCAAATGCTCTAGGGCCATCCTATACCATGATAGATCACAGCCTATTAATTGCATATGACACATAGAAATTTTTAATAGCAAGTAAAGATAAAGAAATCAAAAAATAGAGCATCTTATGCTCACTCTGCTGCAATAATGGAAAAATAATACAATGAGAAACTACATGGAAAAACTTTATACTCTTTAAGAGAGAAAAACAAGAGTTCATTTTATCAAAGTGTTATTAATAAGGCCCTCAATTAACCATGGTCAAGTGAAATGCATTGTTACAAAGCAGTCTCTAAGGTGAAGCTAAGGCCATCATACATGGCACAGGCAATGTAGTTCCTTGTATTGGACCAAGTTGTTGAAGGTGATAGTAATAATGTCTAAGTACCATGGAATCTATAGACAGCCAAATGTCCGCAAGGGCAGGCAAGGAGTTTTGTACGCATATTGTGCACAAAGCATGCTTAAACATGAAGCTCCATGCTTGAGCCTTGGCCAAGCAGCCCACATGATGTCTAAACCACAATGACAACACACTTACAGAAAAAGGCCACTGAAACCTCAGCAAAACATAGTTGTATTGCTCCCTCTGATTACTGAAACACTATTAGTTCCTTGAGACATTCTTCTCAAAAAATCTTTTTTCTTCTATTCATCTCCAGTTCCTATTGGTGTCCATAGCACACATTAGGTCAATCCAATCTTACTTCTTTACTTCAAATGCCCATATCATCCCCTCTACAACTCCAAGATTCTAACAAAGTCATCTAGACACCGTAAACTCCAAGATTCTAACAAAGCAATCTAGACAATGTAAACTATAAAAGTAATCAGTTCTGTACCTTTGAGTACCGTTGGTTCTTTGGTCTTACATCTCACAAGAAAAAATTATCTGAGAGGCAGTAGCAATCATAAAAACAAAAATCATTTCCGTTCAATCTTTCCTTCGACTACTCATAACTTGCTTCTTAACAGATGATCTAACTACTTCATAAATTAATCAAGTAACCCAAAATTTTGACCAAACAATTATTTTAGCACTATAAAAGAAAACATCTTTCATACCAAATCATCAAAAGATTTTAAGCCAGCACCAAACATAATTATATTACACAATTATCAAAATGTAGAGATAAAGAGTGAGAAAGACCTGGACGCCACCGTCGCCGGAAGTACAGGGGACAAGAACGGGACCTTGCTGAGGCCGTTCCACAGGGACTTGTACCTTGACACCAAAACCTTTACGAGGAAGACCGGTTTCTTGAAAATTGGGGCGGTTATTGACTAGACTATCATCGACTTCATCTTCGCCTTCTTTTACTTCGGAACCATTGTCTCTAGCTAACCCTAGCAATCCTGCAATTCTTCTGAAGAATCGCATCCCAAAGGAATCGAATAGGCAGAAGAATTTGGAAAGTGGTTGGATTGGAGAAGAGCAAAGGAGTAGAATGTAGATCGTGTTGGTATTGGTGAGTTTTTGTTTGTTTGATCGTTTGCTAGCTTTTGGTAAGCTCTCGGTTTTGTTTGAGGTTTTGGTACGGTTTTAACTGTCAAGTTTGTTAGGTTTTGTTGTGAGAGATTTTTATTAATAAATAAATATAAAGGAAATGGTTATCTGGTAGATGTTGATTTCGGATTAAAGGGTTTAACTTGAGAATGGTATGATTTACATTTCTGAGTGATTATCTAAAACAATTATACTATACTTATAACTTAATCATATAAACAGATAAAAAAAATAAATAATAAATAATTATTTTATATAAATTTTAGATAATTTTTTATATTATTAATTTAATTAAAAAAATCAATTTAAAAAAAAGGGAGAGAAAACTAGAGTAGCTTTCCTTAACTAGTGGAGCGAAGAGGGTAAAAGTGGAAAGAAATTAGATGAAAAGTTTTATCTATTAAACCAATTAAAAAGAAATCAGTTTTCAATTTCACTCTTAAAAAAAGGTTTTTTAAGTAATTATTTCTAAAAAAATCTAAGGGTAAGTAAGCTTTAGAGTGTTTTTTGTAATTAATCTTATCAAAAGCGGTTTTTTATTCTGAAAGCTATGAAAACCTACTTTTGAATCTTTTTATAAAATAGAATATTTCATAACAAGGATTAGTTTAAGATTATTGTAGCTTTAAGTTTAATCAGCTTTTCCCCAACTTTGAAAATAATTAGGTTTGAAAATAAATTTTATTGTGTTTGGAATTTTCAAAATCTATAATTGTACATTTTGTAAATTAGATTTTGAAATTCTTGTTGTATATGTAATGAATAAAAATGACATTTTCTTTTAAAATATTTTTATAATTTTAAATTTGTATTTTATAAGCATTTGAAAAATATTAAAATAATTTATATAATTAAAATCAATAATATAAAAAAATTGAAAAAACAGTTCACAGGTCGACGATAGTCAATAGCAGTCAACTGTCGGTCAACCACCATTGATTTGCAGTCAAAGTCGATCAAAGGTGGTGCATTTGTGCCACCACCAATCTATAAGAACTAGTGCATGTCGAACTATCAGAATCTGGTTAATCACCGGATTTCGACCTATACTTTGACTGCAAAAGGCAAAGAAAAATTTGATCGCCTTTTGTGACCAAAAGCGACGTTGAAATCTAGTGATTCAACCGGATTTTTGACACATTGAAAGTTTTCAATCTTTATATGATTGGATATAGTGCCAATGTGCCATTGTTCATCGGCATTGACTGTCGATTAACTGATGGCAACAACCAATCCTATTTCAATTTTTTTAAAATTTATAAACAAGTTATTGAATTAATTGTAATAAATCAATTGTTTATTTATGTTAGTTTCGTTGGGTATGTTTGTTATTTTATGATATAAAATCAGCTTTAGAAATAATATGATTTTTATAAACTATTTTTACTAGTTTTTATAATCTTTTCACAAATCTAATTATTTTATAACCAACTTACACTTAACCAATTTTAAAAGTTGTTTACCAAACACTAGATGTTACCAACGTACCATATTCAAGGCCGTCTCTAGAACATTTATGACCCTAGGCAGGAGTTACTTTGGGGCCCTCTAATAATATAAGCATATATTAAAAAAAAAATTATTATTATTATTATTATTATTATTATTTTGCCTTTTGAGATGAAAAATCACTAGGAGAGTTGAACAACAATCGGCAGGCTAACAAGGTTAGCTTGGTGGGGGGTTTTGGAGAGTAGATGTTGGAGAAGTGATGAGTGGTGAAATGGTTGATTTTCAATGCCAAGATTGATAAGAAAATGCTTGAGAACTCACGGCCCAAAAGGTATCGATGGCCGGCGATTGGTAGAGTAAACAGATAAGGTATGATAGGGGTTTTAGTGAAAGGGCTGAGGGGAGGAAGATGGTGGTGTCGGGGAAGGCCAACAATGTCGGGTACATGCTAAAAAGGCTAGAAATGGCTGTCATGTGGTGGAGTTGGGTTGCGAGATTCATCAAAAATTAGTCAAATCGAGGGCTATCAAGGTTGGGAAATGATAAAAGGATGATTTCGGTCGATTTTGGTGAGAAAATCGACCGGAACCAAAATTGACCGAAATCAACTCCAAACCATTGGTGGCAGAAGAGGGCTGGAGATGATTTATGTGAATGTCAAATTTTGAGATTGAATTAGGGGTGAGTAATTTGAGATATGTAAATGACTATTTTAGTCTTCCATTGTTAAAAGAGATTCAATGTGTTAATTTAGGAGTATAAACTAGAATATGTAAAATTAGAGGTACAAACTTACTATTTTGTTAAACTTTGGATGAAAATATATGTAAAAAGTTTATAATAAATTTGAGCTTTTATGACTTTTTATTGGGGACCCCTTGGCTTAGATAAGAAATTATAAATCATTTTCATTTTTTAAGATATTAAAAAAAAAATTATAAAAAATTTGAGCCCCATTTTTTTGGGCCCTAGACAGGTGCCTCACCTACCTACCCTTAAGCCGGCCCTGACCATATTGAATAGCTAAGAGCAAAGTTGACTTGACCAAATTACAGCCGCTAATTAAGTTTTAGCTTTCTCTTTCTAGTATTTTTCTCTCACATATTTAATGCTTTCCTTTTCCATTGCATAAATTATTTAGTTATCTAGTAAAGAGAACCATGATAACAAATTAACAATAAATAAATAAGGCAATCTAGAATATTAGGAAAATTGTTAAATTGTAATGTAACATCTCCTATTCCGTCTATTATGAAAAATTAAAAAGAATCCATGTATAAATCAAAGTCTTGAAAATGAAGTTCATATTTAGATAATTTTTTATTCTACTTATCAAACATAATAAAATAAAATTAATTTAGTAATTTAGAAATAGTAAAACTTGTTGCTTTTCAATCAAACTTTCATGAATCAAATATGTTATCTTCTCTTAATTTAACTATTTTAAACTTAATTCTTTCTATTTATGAACTTTTTTGTATAATTATAAAAGAGGTAACAAAAAAATAAAAAATAAAAACCTACGTTAAAAGTGTGTCATCAAAATGATAGAGAATATAGGTGAGTATTAATAAGTAATTTGAAAAATATATTACAAAATTAAGGTGTTACCTTGTTATGAAATAAAAAGAAAATAAGACTATTTGATCATTATACATTTTTGTATTAGTTATGTATTTATTTTTAAATTTTGTATTATATTTACTATTGTTATTTGAATTTTTTTATTAATATAATTTAAAAAGATGAGACTTATATATTAGGCCTCTCTAATTAGATATATGATTTTTTTCTATTAATAAAAATTTATCATGCTTAATAATTTTGTTAAAAAATAATAAAATACTAAAGTCAAATATTAATTTAAAAAAAAAAAAAAAAAAAACTCTCTTACAAAATTAATTCTTGGTTTTGCCTTCATGAAACCATGTTCTCATTGTTATTTATACTAGGTGCCCTAGTTCATCTAACTACAGAGTCCATTTCTTTTTCATTATTTTATCTATTAAAAAATTATCATGTGTTAGTTTTTAAATTGATCTATCATTAAATTGTCATGCTGATCAAGTAGGATTTTCTAAATTATAAAATTAGGTAATAAAATATTCATTTTTTTTCTTCTTATAAGTATTTTTTACTTGTAAACAAATAGTCAAGGAATACTGATATCCTCCCTACATAAAGTACATTTTCTTATTGATTGTTTGTAAACCAACCAAATAAAAATGATAATAAATATCAATGCAAAGACAAAAACTACAATAATTAATGGTTTATAAATATGTCAAATGGGCGATTGACATGATATGAAATTATATGTTGGATATAAAATATATTAAAGAATATATAGTTTTTCGTATCATCACAAAATTAACAAGACATGTACAAAATTAGCATGATATATACACAAAATATGCATGATATAATTTTATGCTTTCATGAATCTTAACATAAGTGATACAATGACCTATTTGACATCTCTAATAGTGTATATCATTCAGATTTATTTACAACATTTGGTGAATCTATTGTGAAATATGTAAAATTGCATGTATCCACCATGCAATTTTAATACAATAGTGGTAGCAGAACTGTAAACCTCACGTTATTATTCCGATGCCCTAAGTATGAAATTTACTTTTTCATGTAATTTTCTTTTTTTGAATGGAAGGGTAAAATGGTCAATTTGCATGCATATCAAGATGTGGCCATTATAAAGTGTAAGAGGTGATTTCATTGAAGAGAAATGAATGTAGAATGGTCATAAAGTTGATTGATATGGTTAAATGGTGTAAACGTTAGCCAAGGGTACAATTATCTTTTCATGCAAATCCATATGAATTAAGTATCTATAAAAGTGCACCAAGGGTAAATTAGTTATTTACCTAATAGGATTGCTTAATTACCAAGTGTTAAAAAGAAGTCAAATGACATTAAATGAGTGCTAATCATTATGTTATAGTGGAAATGACCAAAACGCCCTTATATGAAAAATTTATGCCAAATGACCCTTATATCTAACTTTTATTGACCAATCATAATAGAGTAATAATGAAATAAATATCTACAAGGTTTTAAGAGAAAGGAGTCGGCCCTGTACACCCCAAATGCATCATCTTCTTCTTCATCTCTCAAATCCACCATAAAAGCCACTAACCAAGCATTTTCTTCTCAAATTTTCATAGGATTTCAAGTTGAATTTCGAAGGAGATCACCATTCTCGCTTTAAGACCTTCAATTTCAGGGTTTAAGGTGAGTTTTAAGACCCTAATTTGTTGTGTTTTTTAGTTAAAAGAGAAATTCATAAGTGATTATATGTGTAAGATAAAAAGGGTGAACCTTTAGAGCTAAGGAGGAGTATCTTTGTGCTTTGAATACTAAGGTAAGGAAAAAAAAATCTCCCTTATGACTACAATTGATAACACCTAGGGTTAATGAAACTTACATTTATTTATGTTAATTTGAGTATGATGCTATGTTTTGGTTATGGATGGTGTAAATGGGTGTGTTGATTGGTGTATGTGTGCATATGAAGGATGATTATGCCAATTAAGAGATTTGTAGTTGGACGATGTTTTGGCACTTTTTGGTTCTGTAAAAAGGGAGGT